TAAGCTGCCAAGAAGATGTGTTTCTTCTTTGCTGTATAAAAGAAGTAGGGTCTGGCGAGCCGGCAGCGGGCCGCCTCAGGCAGCCCCGCCGGGCCGCCCGGTCCCAAGCAGCGGAGAGGATGGCACTGAAGCGGATCCAGAAGGGCCTCACGAATTTGCTGAGGCTGGCCTCAAACTTGCCATCCTCTTGCCTCAGCCTCCCAAGTTCCTGGAATTACAGGCAGGCACCACCGTGCCCAGCTGTAACCATAATTTTTAGCATTTTATCATCCCACCAGTGCATGGCCAGAACTGACCGACTTGCAGAGGGATCCTCCTGCCCAGTGTTCCGCAGGACCTGTGGGTGATGATTAATGACAGTCCTTACCAAGGAGGTGTTTTCTTCCTGACCATCCACTTTCCTATGGATTACCCTTTCAAGCCCCCAAAGGTCGCTTTCACAACAAAAATCTATCACCCCAATATCAACAGCAATGGCAGCATCTGCCTGGACATCCTGCGGTCACAGTGGTCTCCAGCACTGTGTCCAAAGTTCTCTTGTCCATCTGCTCCCTGCTCTGCGACCCCAACCCTGATGACCCTCTGGTGCCAGAAATAGCCCACACCTACATGGCCGACAGAGAGAAGTACAGCAGACTAGCAAGAGAGTGGACACAGAAATATGCTATGTAAGTGCTTCGGAGGTTTCGTGGGAGACATTGTTCAAGAGAAGCTGGCCAGGCAAAGAGGTCTTCCTGTGAAGCTCTGAGCTGTCAGCTAAGCCACCGACAGAGTGCCACCCGTTCTTCACACATATGTGGGCCACCCACTTTCTTTGGCTGCAGCATGTTGGTGCCATTCTCAGCCATGGTGGCTTTGACAATGTCACATCTTTGATGCCTAATCAGCAACCATTGTAACTATGATCCACAACCTTTTTGGTTACACTGGAATGGGTCGGTCTGCCCCAACTCATCTGCTCGTCTCTGGGAGGCCAGTCCCTGCACGCCTCCCCTGCCTGGCCTCAAATGGTGCTGCTGCTCACTATGGCACCACATGGTGGCCTAGCCTGGCCCCTCACTACATGCCCTTTGCCTTTAGAACTCAGTGTTGTCCTGGGTGCCCAGGACAGAGTGGGCTTCCTTGCATCCTGTCTGCTGCAGAATCACATCCCAAGGAGTCTGAGTGCATCCTGGAGGCTCCCAAGAATGGGACAGCATCACCAGAAAGCGGATGTTTCATTCTGTGGCTTCTGCCGTCTTCCTCTGCAGTGCCACATGCTGCATATCTCTCCTCACACCAAGAAGCAGCGAGTGGAAAATGTCAGGATACAAAGCACATAACACCCTGCCTCATGAGAGATGACTGTCTTTTTTAGATGCAAGAGCGAAATTATGAAACCATAGTGAGATTTGGGTTATGCTTTTCTATGTGAGAGGTTTTTCCCTACCTCCACCTCCTCCCACCAGGATCCTATACAAAGTCCAAGTGTAAGCCATTTGCAGACTAGAACACAGGGAGGGGTAGAGACTCAACTGTAAATAAAAATGCAATTCCCTTAAGAGTCTAAATAATAGTTGATATTTAAGTCTCCTTCCCCCACCCCACCCCCTAGGCAGAACAGAAGATATGAAAACTTGACAGGGTTTTCAGAGCCTTAATTAGAATAGTCTGTTAAGTGCCTGGCTTCCTTGCTTGGCTTTCTGATTGAACACATTTTAAGGTTTGACTTGACTTTAGAGCTGACAGCTTTGAGATTAGGTGACTTAGGAAAAGGCATGAAAGGGATTTCAAATAAAACCTCCAAAGAAGGAGGAAAGTTGAAGGGCTTCAAAAAAAAAAGTAGGGAAAAAATGAAGCTGCTGCTCATTCTCTACTGGAAGTGTGTGTGTGTGTGCGTGTGTGTGTGTGTGTGCGTGCGTGTGTCTTTCTTTATGCATCTCTGCTGTACCAGAAATTATAGATTGTCAGCGGGATCTGACACTGGCCCTTGGGAAATTTGGTCAGGTGCCTAGTAGCCCTGGGAGGACATGCTAATCCCTGGACAGTGGACACCAGTCACAGTGTCCACATGCAGCAGAGGCAGCATAGTGGACCTGGGGCAAGACTGGGTGGGTGCACTTAGCTGAGTGCCAGAGGGCTAGGGTCAGAGGACTTCGGGAAGCAGTGGTATCATGTGCAGGCCAATGTCCTCCAGCACCTGATGTTCTATTTTCAGTGAACCCCAGGGAAGCTGTTCTGTAGACAGGAGGGACAGCAATTGGGTTGTGGGGTCACTGCTCAGGAACCCATTGAAGGAATCAGTACTATGGGGCTTCCTTGAGCAGTGTGCTGACTGGTTTGGTGTATCCACTGTCTACAGGACGTTTGATTCCCCCGTGAGCCTGAGTGAATGCATCTGAGGATGTGCAGGTCTAGCCTGAGAAGTCAGCAGATGGCTTAACATAGGTCATCCAGACAGCCCTACACTGAGCCCAGGAAGGCAGCGGACACCCAGGTAGGGCACCATTTTTAAAACAACCTTTGCAGCCAGGAGTCAGGCCTGGATTATCATGAAAGCATCTTCTGGTATCTGTCCAGATGCCTGAGCTATTGGAAGCTTCTCCTCTGCCCTGGGCATCTGCAGGGCCACAATGTATGCAACAGGTGCCAAGCTAAAGCACAATGAACAGTGTGTGCTGCAGAGTCAGGCTCTAGGAGGAAAGGAGACCCTTGAGGTTCACTCCCTTACACATCTGGCTACATCCTCCACCCTCCATTGCTGTGACCTTTAGAAATCCATAAGCCTTCATTGTCCTTCACTTCCTCCCACTCTTTCTAATATACATTCCCTGGAACCACATTCTGTAAACTTTTTGAAAAACAAACAAACAAAGAACCAACACCACCAACAAAACCCAGGACAAAACAGAAACCTTTTTCCCTGTTCCAAGGACCACAGTCTGACCAAAATCCTCCACGCCTTCAGTGACTCCTGCAAACTCTGTCACCTGTGTCTTTCTTCCCCTTCTCTGTATCTACTCCCAAATCTAGTGTCAGCCTGTTCCTTGTGCCCTCTGCCCAGCACTCTCAAATCCACAGTGCTCAACCTCCAGGACCCTCCACTCCTCTGTGAAGTGCATGCTGCCCCTGACCACCACCCACCTCCCTGCAGCCCTGCCCCTTGCTCCTGGGTGCTTCAGTGCACTCACAACCAGGGTCCCCTCCCTCGGCTCCCTCCCTTCTTGTGCACATCCTTTCTCCCTCCCCATGTCTGTGCCCAGGCTCCATCTCCTTTGCTTACACTCTGAATCCGCCTCAGTCACTGTCCACCAAGGTGGGCTCCTCCTCTCCTGATCTTTGCCCACAGCAGGTCTCCACATGCTTCCCACTGACCATTGGCCCCCATTGCCAATGACTTGTGTTGCCATCACACCCTTGTTCCTGTCACCTTGCCATCCACCCACCCGAACTCAATGGGTTTATGCCTGTGCCTTCCTGGCCCACTCTTCCCTTTGTAGTCATAGCCTGGCATTGGCCTTAACCTTGGAGCAACCCGTGACATGCTTCTGCCTTTCCCCCCGTCTCCCCTCCATCATCTTTAGACCTGGCCCTCCAGGCTCACTGCCCTCCAGGCTCACTGCTCCACCATCTCACGTCTGTCATACATTTCTCTGTGCCCTGTGCTCACTCTTGTCCATCACACAGCTGTGCTCTGTCCCTCCCTCAACACTTCACTGTTAACAGTGGCCCTGGGTGTTTTTAGTAAATGCCCTTGAGTGCCAGGGCTCACAGGTGAGGGAGTGCTGAGGCAGCCACTGGAGGAAGGTGAGGCCTGAGCCTCTCAGCCAACCTCCAGGCAGGTTCCAGAGCAAGCATTCCCCAGGATGTGCAGGGCCAGCTCCACCTCTCCTCATCTCTGGGCCTCCCTTTATTTCATCTCTGTTCTCATCACATGAAAGGTCCTTGTTGGGAAGAGTCTGTTCATTCCACAGGTAAACCCACTGCTGTTGGGGCAAACATTTACCACCCCACTACCCCACCCTCTAATTATTGACATTTCCCTAGAACTTACCACAATACTGAGGGGTTTGCCATATCAGAATCCCCTCTGTACCCAACTCACCTTTTCCATAAAATTATACTTTGCCTTAAATAAGTGAAGCCTTAAAACTCAAGCTCTTTCAAACATTCCCCAAAGAGTCCACTTTCAACAGAAAAACCTCAGTGACTCATGTGGCCTTCTCAGAAGGTATCACATGGGTGACAGGCAGGGACAGAGATACCAGGGCAATGGAGTGTATATCAATAAATGTTCCTATAATACTTGCTTTTTACCAAAGTCCCTCCAGGATGCTGTCACCCAGGAAGCCTCATGTATCTTCCCCTCCCCTTTTCAGTTCTCCACCTGTGGGACCTGCTGTGACACTTCTCACAACCCTGCCTGCACCAGCGACTGCAATGTTTATAGATGAATCGAATCTCCTAAGTCTACAATCTAGCACAAATACATGAATATAATCTGATTTAGAGAGTTGTAAGTGCTATTTTTAAAAGCATAGGTAAGACATGCCCATCTATCCTCCTGTTTTGAAAGGCAGCTGTGGGTGTTTTCACAAAATGTGAAATTGTGAGATTATGCTGCAACCCTTGAACAGATTCCAGCAGAAGATATGCGCTACCTAGATGAGAACCAGGCACTTCTTTCCTTGTGGCACTGCAGGCAGCAGGAGCACTGTGCTCCCACCAGTTTCCCTTCTCCTGCCAACTACAGTCTGGGTGTGTGAAGTGGCCCATGTGGATGCTACACAGGACAGTAGTTTGCATCATATCACAAGATCCCTGCATGTAGGGAGACAAATTTTTTAAGGAGAACTGCAGACAAACCTACCTTGCAACGGAAAGAGATATTATCTTTATTTCACCGTGCAGTAAACAGTTCTCTCCTTTATTCCAATACCTAATCCTGAATCTGTCTTCTCAAGCTCTGTTTTCAGAGGAATCCAACAAAAGACAATTTGGGACAAAGCTTTTCTGGGAGTTAAAAACTTACTGGCGATGCTAAGGAGAATTATCCTCCCACAGGTCCACACTCATTTCTCCAATGCATTTGCTCCAGGCCAACTTTCCAGGAGAGCAGCACTTGATTCAAATGACCTGGAAGGACTGAGGACTCATCCATTCCATTTGATCAACAGGAACTAGGATGGCTAGTGAACGTGATGCGAAAACATGCAATCATGTACTTATGATACAATGGGGAAACGTTTGAGTTGTATCCTGATACTGGGGACTGAACCCTGGGTGCTTTACCACTGAGTACCACTGAGCTTCATCTCCATCTCTTTTTCTTTCTCATTTCTAAGACAGGGACTTACTAACTTGATGAGGCTGGCCTTTAAGTTGGGATGCTCCTGTCTTAGCTCCCCGAGTTGCTGGGGTTTCATGCACATGCCACAGTACCCAGCAGGACTTTGTATTCTTTATGCGGATGAAGAAGAGCCTGGATAAAGTGGATACAGTGGACTCACGGCTCATGAGAATAAAGGGGCTGACAGTGGGGAAACACACTGCTATTAGGTCATTGGTGTCCACCAGCCACCCTGTGGGGATGGAAAATAGAGCAATATGAACGTTCAATAGGGAGGGGAGGGTGTGGAAAGTCACAAAGGTGCCCACCAGGACAAGGATTCTCTGGGTGGCTCTGGACTCAGGGGAGGTTCTGGGGGAAACTTTGATGCTGTGAATGTGCTGAACCCTCTGCTTGTGCCTGTACAGAAGGAGAACCATGGAGCCACTGGACCAGATCATGAGCACAGAAAAGACAACTTCAGGAAATACAAATAAGGCTGCATATAACGAGTTGGTTATTTTGTCACGACCTGCAGAAGCACAGTACCCAAAATCTCTTTTCTCTGTCAGGTTTTCACTACTCCATTTGCTGAGCATATAGAGAGGAAAAATGGAATTCACCACCATGTACAGGATCCAGCAGAGGAAAATGGAGAAGCCAATGTACTTGGGAGCTTTTCCTTTGAGATCCTGCCAACAGGAGTTCATGGGGCTGATGGTGATGTTCTGGAAGACACTCAAGAGGCAGGTGATGACAATGGACACACTCCTGCCCACTCGCTGAATGTACAAAATAAGTTTGCATCCAAGGTCATTGAGAAAATGCTTCAATCCAAAAGCTGTGATTGTCTGGGGAATTCCTTTAAAGAGAATGATCAAGGAATTGGCTATAATTAGGTGCTTGAGAATCATATCTGTGTACCTTACTGTACAGTCATTGCAGGAAAGGACTAAATAATAATAAAACAGAGAGAAATTTCCCAGAATTCCAACAGCAACCTGTGATAAGAACATCAGTCCTATTGCCACATTCTGGAAGGTCATATTGTCATTCAGCACATCATCCTTTACATTATGGCAACAGTCATTCCTCTGAGTAAAATGACTCATTAACAATAAGCTGTACACAGTGCTGTTTTGAGCACCTGTAACCACTTGCTAACCTGAAGACTGAGGCAGGAGGATCACGGCAGCACAGGAATTTCAAGCCAGTCTGAGCAACATAGTGAGATTCCCTTCTTAAAATAATTTTTTGACACCAAGAGCAGCTTTCATTGCATGCACCTGCAGGATTTCAAAGACCTCAAGGTGCACAAGTTACTGGGGAGAATTGACAGTGTGCTTTCTAGAAAACTGAGCCTTGATGATCAGGTGACGCTAACCTGGGAGGAGCAATAAATAGTGAGAGCAAGGTCATAGAAAGAATTTAGCATTTTATGTTTCAGAATGAACTGATATTTGCTATTCACATTGGAAAAAGAACTTAAATCAACATTGTCTCCATACAACAAATCAGATCTTAGAGAATTTCTGAGCTAAAATTTAAAGTAAGCAATGGACCTTTTATAATAACAAAAAGAATATTTCTGATGTCTTAAGTAAGAAAATGTTTATTAAAAAGCACAAATATATCAAAACATATTGTTGAAATGAGAAGTTAAGGTACATTAAATTGAGCATTAACTTTTATTAGATGCCATACATACCCATGGTAAGTTTGAGGTATCCAACTCTAACAGTCTTACAAATTGCACAATAGATTAAAAATTGGCAAACCTTTCCAAAAGGTACTGAAGACAAAATGCTTAATTCAATGAATAGTAAACATGGGGAGGAAGTTCAGTGTTTTCATTGAAGCCACTCCCCAGTATAATAACAAGCCAACCAGAATCTAAAATAAAATCGCAGGAAGTACCACAATTGGGAAGGATGAAGATAGGCCCGGGATCTCATGAACTGGCAATGGGTATTAAAATTGGTGCAAAGGTGGCAAAACTGTTGGTATACACTTACTGGATGAGATATAAAACTCTGTGCCAGCAATTCCAAACTGACAAATGCCCATGCCGTCCCACAGAACTTGCCCTGTCTCTACTTTTAATGAATGTAAGACTGACCCAAGGTTGAATTCCACACGGGAAGAAGGAGAGGGAGGAGGTTAGGTACAGGAAAGCAGTGGGGACTTAAATGGAGCTAATTATATGCTAAGCATGCATAGTTATGTCAGAATGAGCCCCAGTATTATGTATAACTATAATACACGAATAAAAAGTTAAAAACAAATGAGGAGGAAAAATTATGAGAAATCAAATTAAATGTTACAAAATGCTGTGCTTTTATTATTTAAAATAAATGAATGGAAGAATATCCCCTCTAAACAGACAGTTCCACAGCAGAAATATTGTCATTTCTGGAATAAAACCATACTGAAATCTATAAATAAAATATTCAAAAATATTACTTGGGTCATAAACTATGAAATATGATGTACTAATATCTGATAAAGTAGTTCATGGTAGAAATGAAGTCTTCACTGATTTAAGGCTAAAAGTTTCTCTTTCCTGAGAGCTACATTAGTGAAACTGTCAGTAATGAAGCAGGATTTGTGGAGGACACTTAATATAAGAGGTATGTCAGTAGAAGCTGGAGCATGTGAATTCAGTGATGAATAAAATAAAAAACAAAGGAAAATGCCATGAGTTTGTGATTAATGTTGGAATATTATTAAACCATAGGAAATCACAGATTCATTTGGTTCTGACAACCACTGTCCATCTCTCTTCATTATAAAGTTACCTTCACTGTGTGTCCAGCAGGGAGAGAGTCTCACCTCAGCCATCACAGCACAGGCATTCAGAGGAGACGCAATTCCTGTCTACCATAGGTGACTGGAATGTAGAGTTGGAAAAGAACATCTTTTATTCCAGAACAGTCCCAAGTGAGGTGACCCTAATGGTTTCAGTCCCATCTTTACTATAGGCATGAAGCATTACACACACAGCCATCATAGCAGTTCAAAATGTATCCTAAGTTCTGTCTAAAGTAATGTGAAGAGCAAAGTAGTTGTCCTTAAGCCCCTTCCAAATCAGAGTTCACTGTGAATGGTATTATTCACCTAGAAATATCCTCAGTGTATTCTTTTATTAAATAACATTGGGAGCCAAGAGCAATTGGCAACAGTTCAGCCACATGACTCCTTTACTAACACAGCACACAACAAACAAATGTTCCTCTCCCTGGTCTCTATTGGCAATAAATCTGTTTCAATCCCGAATCCTTTCCAGAACTGAGCACGTTCTCAAAGTTATCCCTTTACACACACTGCCTCTGTGACAGAAACAGAAAACACTCACCTTGCTTCTTGTGTGCAAGGTGCTGGACTCAGTGTGAGGTCATGACAGCGAGCATGGAGGGAGGGAGGCAGCTGGGCCCTGAGATAAAGGTCTGTGCTCCTGTGACCTCACTTCCCCTCTGGGCTGCAATTATCACCTCACCTGGAGAGGCAATGACAGTGCAGGCCTGGGGAGCCCAGGACAAGGCTGAAAAACTTTCTCCACACTTGCTAATTAATAAGGCAATTATGAGTTCCTTGTTAGTAACTTCTTAATAACTGATGAGTCTTTTGCATGATCCTTGTGGGGCTGAGAGGGTCTCATATGGAACGTTCAGGAAATAATGAGGTGTGACCTATGAGCGACAGAGAATTGTATGTCTCATTGGACTCCAGGCTTCTCTCAGTTTTTAAGGCTAAATATTGCTAATTCTGTCTTCTTTCCTCTCCTTCTCCATCTCTTCGCTTTTGGGGGGAGCCTGGGGCCTGGAACAGGGCCTATTCTGTGATCCTGAGGCCCCAGCTCCAGGCAGGCAGGGGTATAAAGATTACTGACCACACCCAGAGCAAATGCTCATGATTGTGACATCTGATGGTGTCATCACAACCATCCCTTGGCCATGGAGCTTGTCACTAGGAAGGAAGACTCAGTTGGAGAGTAGCCAACAGGATGGGTCACTTGGAGCATCTGCAGAGGGGCACTGATTGGGGGCATGAGGGGGTCAAGCCTTATGAACAGAAAACCTGTCCCCAGCACTTGGAAGGACCTGGGTTCCAGTGATGATACCTGGGTTATGATGTAACCCCTTTCCACACATATTTTCAAAGAGATTTTATTCAACATAATTCAGAAGTCTTGAAGGAGCCAGTGCAGCCTGAAGATTCCCAAAGATGAGCTGCCAAACCATGACCTCATGCAGCACCAGTGCTCTGTGGTACAGCAGCAGTGACCATGTGTGGCCCAAGTGCAGAAGTCAGCAACCCAGAGTAAGCAGCAGCTGTCAGAGTAAAAGCAGAACATCTAGCATAGGCATGTGCAATGCTCAGGGTTAACTTCAACCTTCAGACTTGTGAGACAGAATGGACTACAAGGAGATCCTGGAGTGGGTGGACTCCCAACAGCCTGCCTCAGTGACCCCTGGAAAGGACGATCAGGACCCCTGGGCTGTGCTCCATCTGTGATCAATCACCCCTTGTTGAAGAGTGTCTGTCTTGCCTCTCTCATCAATAAGCTGATTAAAAATTCCCAGGAACATGGTGGACTCAGGGTCTCACCACACTAGAGACCAGACAGATGAACAGGTGTTACTGTGAGGATTACGTGGCCAGGTGCCGCCCTGGAAGGCAGCCTCCGGTCCCCATGGCCTGTGAGAACCAGCCTCTGAGTGATGATGTGGTCAGGAGCCAGGGCTTGGCGTGATATTTTGCAACTTGTTGAGGAGATACAGGAGAGCTGGACCAGCTGTTAGGAAGAGAGGGGCATCAGAAAAGCCCCATCCCTCAGGAAGCTGGGCCTTGAGTCCCCCCCACTCTCCTTTATGCCTCTGCTGAGCCTGGGCATCTCTCCTCCTGCAGGTCTAGCACTGAATGTCCCTGACACCCTTTGCTCAGCTTTACAAGACAGAAACTCCGATTCCTTCTTTGTGCAGTATCTCTTCCCCTAATTTGTCTTTTGATTCTCAGTCTATGTGGGACAGTCCCCATCATTGTATTTTTCTGTCTAAGGTCCCTGATTCCAAGTGTTTTCAAGAGATTTGTCTTCCTCAGAGGATCAGGATGGACTGAGGAATCTCTAATCCCCCATCCTCCAAATCCAGGGCACCAGAGCAGGCTTCCTGTGGATTCCAAGCCTTACTAACAGGCAGCTCTGGGGTCTGATGTCCAGAAGAAGCAGTGAGTGTGGAGACAAAACCTTACAAGTTAACTATGATCCCAGTCAGTGTCCCTGGATGATGGCCCTCTGGGGAATACTGATCACTGAGCCAAGCACATCTCTGTTCAGCTATCTTTAAAGTGCAGGCTCCACTGGTCTGCAGGTGCACAGGTTAGATGCTGAGGATTCCCAAATGAACCCTTTTCCCTTTCTCATAATGAGGGTGACAGGATTGTGGGTGAGTGCTGATAGCCACAGCAGAGTTGGAATGATGCATGGCATTTAGGTGATGGCCAGTGAGCCATTGAGATGATGATGGTTATGTTAAGCTGTGTATTCAATTGTATATTAGACCCCTGCTGTCTGCCTTGGGCTCCCACTACTTTGGAGTTCTTGCTTTGGTTGGGGAAGTTCCAGAGGAGGGATTTCTGGTTGGTGGTTCCTGGAAGGCCCTGTGGGTGGCGTTCACAGGAGTAGTTCTGGCAGAAAAGGATTTCCTGTTTTGAACCTACATGTGCCTCCTGGCAGCTCAGTTATTTTGTGCCCAGCCAGACTGCAGCAGGTGGGGATTCGACTGTTGGGTTCAAATGCTCAGAAAGAAGCTGCTCTCTGGCTTTTGCTGAAATTGGGTAGAGACTCCCTGTGTGGCATGCCCATAATAGTGCCGCAGAACCCACTCCAGCCTGGGTTATATTTTTAATTATATATTTTTATAAATTTCTTTGGATGGATATTTCATTGTTTTTTTTTTGGGGGGGGGGATTCATGACAATAAAATTTATTTTGACATCATTACAAAACCATGGAATATATCTTATTTTAATTATGTTCCCAGTACCTGCCCACCTGCCCTTC